TGAGTATTGATGGTGGCCCAGATTTTTAAATTTCTCCCCACAGGGCATATTTGGTAAGATGACAGGATAAAGTAGTGGAGAAGTTGGGGACATAATGACTGCCCCAATGGGAGATATACAACAGTTCGTGTAAATGGAGTAATCTGAGAATAGAAGCCAAATCTCTGGCTGATCTCAGATCCTGTGCCAGATGCTGACTGGGACCTGACCAGCTGGCACCACAGTTGAATTTAGGTTGAGTAGATTTGCCTGGCTCAGTCTTACCAGTCCACCACATGGTGCAATGTGGTCCATAGCCTTACTTTACATCCCATAGTTCTACTCTGGCACCATTCGCAAATCTTATTACCTTATGAGCTCTCCTGGGTCATTTTAACTGTATCACCAGTCATGTACTGCACAAAGATATTTGGCCAGTGATGCACCACATGTACCACGGTGGTTCCATCAGGTTTTAGTGGAGCTGGAAAATTCCTGTCACCTAGTGATGTCACAGAACTTGTGATGCAGCACAACACATCCCTCATGCATATGAGGGTGCTGGTGTCAACACAGCTGCTGCACAACTGGCCATCTGAAAGTGCTGTGCATGCAATTATGAAAGGTGCAGAATACTCGAGAGTGATAATACGTGACTATGTCACTGGTGTATGTACTTACTTGTTATTAATCACTATTTATGGAGTACTCCTTTTACTTAAAAAAAAAATTGACTGTAAACCATGTGACACCAGCAGCAGCTTCATCCATCTCATGTTTACTGCATCTATTGATTGCTCCAAGAGGCCACGTGGGGTGACAGCCCCAGAGCACCTAGGTTGTGTAAGTGCACTCTAGAATACTCACACAACAGCCCAATGGCACTTCCCAGAATGCATGCCCATTATTCAGCAATGCACAGCTGTATATAGAGTCAGATGGATTCAAGATAGTTTCCAGACCAAGCATTAGAATATTCTAGTCTTAAAGGTTACACTTCGACTCACTGTCACCATTCATTCTCACACGTAGCCCTCATGGTAGTTCTCCTTTCATTTCCATCTTACCTATGCAGAAACTATGGCACAGACTGGCTAAGAAGCTTGAATTAAGACCACGCAGCACGTGAGTAGCAGAACTAACGTTTAAGCCTGTCTGAACCAGGTTCTAAATTCTTCACTATTATGTTAAATACTGACTGTGAGGGTTAATTTTACGTGTCATTTTGAGAGGACCAAGAGCTACTCAAACACTGTTAGGCATTCCTCTGGGTGTTCCTATAAGGAGTCTCTACAGAGCTCAGCATTTGAAGTAGTGAAGTAGGTCTACCTCCCAGTGTGGCTGGCCATCTCCAACAAGAAGAAGGCCCTAGGAAAACAAACAAGTGGACGAAGGGATTCTCCTTCTACCAGATTGCAGAGCTAGGACCCTGGGACTTAGTATGGAGTTTGTGCCATCAGCTCCCCAGTTAGGCCTTTGGGTTAGGTGAGGCCCCTCAACATTCCTGGGGCTCCAGTTTTCAACCAGCAGATACTGGGCTCCTCAGCCTCCATAATCTTATGAGTCAATTCCTCATGACAAATCTCTCTGCACAGCCTGTTGATTCTGTTTCTCTGGGAAGTCCCGACTGACCAGCTACCTCTCAAACAAAACTCACCCAAGTGGTCCCTAACTCCTTGTGGGTCCCAGGACAGGGATAATGGAGTTAGAGGTCTGTATAGCAATACATTCATCCATCTGTCAGCATTAGTTGTTGTCTAATTTACACTATGTTTACTATTTTAATACTGAGTTTCTGAGTTAAGATGACTTCACGGAATTTTTCTAATCAATTTTCAAAGAAATAAGAAAAACTACCAAAAAAAAAAAATACCAACAGTGACAAAGAAGAAAAAGAGTACAAACTCAAAAAAGTATGTTTCAAGTCAAAATCCAAGAAAAAAAGAAAAAACCTAGAAGATTCTGGAAGGAGGCACAGCAGAACCTCAGCTGGCCCTTCATACCCCACAACCCAAGAGCCAAACCAAGGGGTGTGATTTCTGTCTCTCTCCTTTTCTGGCCAGGAGCTGTGAGACCAGTTGTGAGAGGAGATGGTGAGATGGGACCACAGGTGAAACAGTGCCTGAAGAGAGGCCTCAGGAGCTGCAGATGGCATGTGGTCAGTGAACCAAGGTCCCTGTGCTCCACACGGGGCAGGTCATGTCCTTCATCCAGGTGCTGATAGTGAATAAAAGTTCCTTTCTAGGAAGAGCCCAGTGGTCCAGCAAATGCACCAGACCATGTTCACTGAGTTCCTTCCCTCCATTTCTGCAATTCTCTGAGGCAGCAGAAGGAAATGGCCTGTTTTTCAACTGCTTGTAGATGAAAACAACTCAGCCTCAGCCAAGAAAAGAGCAATGTCAAGTTGCCATCTCTGATTCAGGGAAAACAGAATGTTTAAAGAGAGCCACTTAAGTGTGTGTCAGGTAAAAAGAATGGCTGAGCAGCTGTGCAAGGACACAGCCCAGAGAAAGGGGAAGGGGAGGAAGGGAAGGACAAATTCACCAAGAGTTCAAGATGAGATTTTTTTTTTTTAAGGAGACTACAGACCCAAAGAAACAGGCAATGGGCAGTCAATCTATTGAAATACACAGAAATGTCACACACCAGTAAGAATTATGATTACCTAACAGAATGTGATGAACATCAACCTGGGCAATGTGAAAACAACTGTATTTGTTTCCTGGGGCAGCCATAACAAAGTGTCACAAACTGGGTGAGTTTGAACAATCAAATTTATTTCCTCATAGTTCTGGGGGCTAGAGGTCTGAAATTAAGGTGTCGGCAGGGTTGGTTTGTTCTGGGAGCTCCATTCCAGTTTCTGTTGGTTGTTAACAACGCTTGGAACGCCTTGGCTTGTAGATACCTCACGGCAATCTCTGCCTCTGTCTTCATGAGGCTGTCATCCCTGTGTGCCTCTGTCCAAATTTCTCTCTTCTTTATCAGGACATCATCACTAGTTTTGTGCCCACCCTTCTCCAGTATGACCTGTTCTTGACTCAATTTCTTAGCTGTTACTTTCAAATACGGTCACATTCACAGGTGCTGGGGTTAGAGCTTAGACTATCTTTTAGATGACTCAGTTTGACGACCACAATAATAACATGACTGACTACCTTGAGGAGGTTGGAAGTGATATGAGGACGCCAGTACCCTCATCTTACTGAGGAAAGGGACAGTTATAGGGTTTAAAACAGTCATAGAGCAGGTGTGTTTGTGTGTGCTTGCATACGTGAAACCCCACCCTGATGATGTTAGCCATCATCTCTTTTCTTATCCTTAAAGAAACAATCTTCTTTGAAACATTTATTTAAGGTTAACAGCTTTATTTTTGCTCTTTTATAAAAACAGATAAATTTAAGTGTAAGGGTCTTTATTCTTTTAGAAGCTATAGTGACTCCTGATAAGATTGTTCAATTAAGCAATTGTAATATGAGCTTCCTCCTTGCCAATCATCAGAAAGGAAAGAGAAAGTCAGAGACAGAGCATATGAGCATGTCATAGTCTTAGTCATATTTGAAGCTCTGACACTTAGCAGTGGGCGTGGCTCCTTCATAAATGTTTGCTAAACTGGATTATTTGGTGCTAAGTATGCAGTGTTGCACTAGAGGGGGTTCAAGCAAACCCCTCCAGCATCCTGCACCCATTGCATTCCATGATGTTCAATATCCAATATGCATTTTTGTTTCTCTTTTGTACCCTGAGGTCTAGCTCCCCAGGAGTTTAATTCTAGACATAGCTGAAGGGTCGAGGTCACTGCTGTCCAGATGGGCTGACCCTGCGTGGAAGAGCAAACTGAATCCTTTCCTTCTGTCTGAAATGTATTTAGTGCCCTCAGCTCTAAAGTCATATTCCCTATGGCAAAATAGTGATTTCATCCGTGGGCAATGGGACCCGCTGGTAAAAAGGTATGAGTGGTGTTACCTGTCAGCTGCCTGGCTTAACCTCTTCCCCTGCGGAGGACATCATGGTTGCTGATGAACGTGGTCCAGCTCAGAAGTAAACAAATACTGCTGCTGACAGATGCTCACAGGCATGCTGGGACATCCACAGCCACCCCCCTCCTCTCCCAGGCCAGCTTTACCTCCAGCCTATTTGGAAGGCAGTAGAGGTGATTCAGGTTTCAGGGACTGGCTTAGCTCTCTCTAGGGGAGTGAAAAACAAGTGTCTGGCGCCTCTTTGCTCTGCATCTCTCTACTGCTCTGTCTCCCCCTCTCCCTCTACCCATCCCTGTCTCTCAGCTGCAGCCAGTGTAATCATATCCCAGTAGTCACAGATTCAGGACCTGCCAAGCCATTCACTGTCCTCTGCTGCCTACCCACCCATGGAACTCAGCTCCCAGGAGCTCCCTCTGGCCAGAAATGGAACACAGTGACTCTTCCACTCTGGCTCAGTCCATTTCCTTTTTCCCCAGATGTCATTTGGGTCCTCTCCTATGTCCTGTCACCCTGGGAATCATGGAGAGGCTCGGGGGCTCACAGACCCCCAAGGACAGAGTCACAGAATGGCATTTTTCCCTTGTCAATGTCAAGAAGCAGCTACTAATGAGCCAGGTTTAGGGCCAATAACACACCAATAACACTCTCCGTCGGGAGAGGCCTGATGCCGTCGGACTATTCCGAAGAAGAGGCCACCTCCGAAAAATTCCCCTTCTAGAACATGTAGACACTTGAGAAATGTTTCTGTTTGAAGAAAATAGAGGGAGAAACAGAAGTCTTAAGTCTGTGGCACATTGTGTCTTCAGACAGTTTGGAGGATTGAAAACCTAGAGATTTTTAAATCATGAATTGAACATGTAAAATTCCAGTAAAATGTAAACATGGAATTGCATCGCTCTTAACCTTGAGCATAGTGACTTAGAGACACTGTATACCAGTTTTGCCAATAAGACTGTGGACTTCATGATTGTTAATGAACTACTGGGTCAAAAGGAAGAAATCTGCTTCTAAAATTCTCACTGTTTGTGGGGTTTGGAGGCCAAACAGGCAAAAAGTTAATGGCGAAGTGTCGAATGCTTATCCAGGAGAACCAAGAGCTTGGAAGGCAGCTGTCCCAGGGCCGTATTGCACAGCTTGAAGCAGAGCTGGCTTTACAGAAGAAATACAGTGAGGAGCTTAAAAGTAGTCAGGATGAACTGAATGACTTCATCATTCAACTTGACGAAGAAGTAGAGGGTATGCAGAGTACCATTCTAGTTCTTCAGCAACAACTGAAGGAAACACGGCAGCAGTTGGCTCAGTACCAACAGCAGCAGTCTCAAGCTCCAGCCCCAAGTACTAGCAGGACTACATCTTCTGAACCTGTAGAACAGGCAGAGGCCACAAGTAAAGACTGCAGTCGTCTGGCAAACGGACCAAGTAATGGAAGCTCCTCCCGTCAGAGGACGTCTGGGTCTGGATTTCACAGGGAGGGGAACACAACCGAGGATGATTTTCCTTCTTCTCCAGGGAATGGTAATAAGGCCTCCAACAGCTCAGAGGAGAGAACTGGCAGAGGAGGTAGTAGTTACGTAAACCAACTCAGTGCGGGGTATGAAAGTGTAGACTCTCCCACGGGCAGTGAAAATTCTCTCACACACCACTCAAATGACACAGACTCCAATCCTGACCCTCAAGAGGAGAAAGCAGTGAGTGGGAAAGGTAACCGAACTGTGGGTTCCCGCCACGTTCAGAATGGCTTGGACTCAAGTGTAAATGTATAGGGTTCAGTTTTGTAATATTTTTCCAACAAATTTTATACAGTGTCTTTAATTTGGGAGAGGATACTGTCCAGAAAATTAATGCATACTTTTGTCACAATTTGCCTTTTCGTGGGTGTGTGTTTTTGTTTTGTTTGGTTCCTTTTTTTTTTTTCCCCTTCCCCAACCCCCTGCTTCAATACCTCTGCCACTTTGAAAATTGTAACAGTTAATTACTTTGAATGTTGCTAAAAGGACATTTTGTGTAGGGTCAAGTTATTTTTATATGAGTTAATGTGAAGTTGTAAATGGGAATCTTTCCATAAAGTATAACAATGGTATCTGTATATATCTGTGTCTATCTAGAACCTGTGCTGTGTGAGGGCATTCTTATCCATGCTGTTATATACATAACACACCATTCAGACTTGTTAGAGTAGCTGTGGGTTTATGACTGCCAGGTTTGCCCAGTACAGTAGTTTTTATCACTAAAAGTTGGACTTGTTGATGGAGTCCTATAGTAGTTTCAATGTTAGATACAGTTTTTTCCACCATACATCTGTGCATTTATCTTTAGGTGACTGAATGTTTAAGAATTTGTGTGCATAGTTACTCAGTTTTTATGAACTGTTGTATCCTGTTAGTGCATATTGCTCTGTGACTCCAGTATACCTTACCTGTACTGACCAAACCTAAATAAAGATTTTTATTGTAAAAAAAAAAAAAAAAATAGCTTCCACCTGGGAATGGTGTCTTCTATGTCCAGGTTTGGTTGATTACCTAATTCTGTAACCTAACTAAGAAAAACAGGGGCGTGGAGAAAAAAATTAATTCTCATTTAAACTCTTTCCTGTCTGGCAAATGATAGTGGTATAGAGCTGGATGGATGGTATAGCTTTGATTTTAAATATCTCCCAAAGGCCCAAGTGTTAGAGACATAGGCCCCAGCTTGGTGCTATTGGGAGGTGGTGGAAACTTTAAGAGGTGGAGCCTAGAGGGAGGTCTTTAGGTCACTGGGGCGTGCCCTTGAGGAGGACTGTAGTACACCAGTCTCTCCTTCTTTCACTTCCAGGCCATGAAATGAGTGGTTTCACTCTGCTATACTCTGCTACCATAATGTGCTATCTCACCACAGGCTCAAAGCAACAGAGACAATGGATCCTAGACTGAACCTCTTAAACTGAGAGCCAAAATAAGCCTTTTTTGTTTGTTTGTTTTTGAGGTATTGGGGTTTGAGCTCAGGGCTGGGCAGGAACTCTACCACTTGAGCCACACTTTCGGCCCACCTTTTTTTCTTTCTTTATAGGTTGATAATCTCAGACATTCTTAAACTATTGGAAATCTGACTAACACATTGGACCTCAAAGATCACTGTGTTCAACTTCCAAGAAGGAGGAGATAGTCTTTGGCTCTCCCTGAGGTCACATGGTTGGCAAGGTTCCAGGATCCCTGTCCAGGGCTCCTTAAAGTGTGACCTATTTGTGTGCCATCACCTGAATTTTCAATACTATGAATGCTTTGCTCTTCAGGGCACATGGTTCAGATCAGTCAGCTGACAGCCTGCTTGTGGGTGATGGAGGATCACACTGCTGCCAGGTGCTGAGGGGAAGGCCAGCCGGGGATAGGGCAGCATAGACCAAGACAGAGCCTCCTTCTAGATGATTCTTGTGGAGTGGATTGCAGGAATGATGCTCCCCAATGCCTCCCTAGTCCAGCGGAGTGGCAGAGAACAGAGGAAGTGGCCCCACCCTGGGAGATCCCAAAGAGGTGATAAGCAACATGGTGTTCTGCACCTGAGGGTCACCAAGACCCTCATGGGAATCTCTGCAGAAGGACAGGGCTTTCCCAGCACCTGTTAATTCTGCTGCCTGGATTGCAGTGAAGGACTGAGCTGGGGGACAGGCAGTTTGAGGAGATGTCTGGAGTTGGGGGGGTGATGGGGTACTGGGGAGTGATATTAAGGTGAGGGGTCTTTCTTAGGCAAGCCTACTGTATGCCGCAGAGTTGCAGCAGCAGCTGGGTTAATCAAAGTGAAGTCTGGATTTTCAGAGCTCCCACAGACGAGGGGTTGAAAGCATGGTCCATCAGAGGCTCACCAAGACAAACTGCTAGCCTAGGGTGGAGAATTTAGGGAGGTCACTGAATTGCACCTTGGCAGAAAGTAAAACCTTGAGGTAGGAAGGTTCCTTCTTTGAGGCTGTGCAACCTGTGCAAGCTCAGAGGTGAGAGACACCTTACGGGTCATCCACCCGCTCATGTGTCCTGGTAGGAATCTGTTCTGTCAGGTTGCTTTGAACAATTCAGAGGGAAAGAGTACATCCCTCTCCCCACTACCTCACCCTGTCCCCACACACACACACAGCAAGCTTGCCACTTGGGGAACTTCAATTGTTTAAACATCGGTCCTTTTACAGGGTCAGAAAAAGCCTCCCTATTTCTTCTAGTCACTAATCCTTCCAGGGGTCCTCAGAGACTGTTCTTGCAATTTTGCAACACATTTTAGAGGCTCTGTGGGCAAAAGCACTTGAGTGCATGTGTGAAGGGAAGGGCGAGCACAATTCCTAAATCTTTTCGACATAATCTTCCAACTGCTAGAAATTAGGAAGCAAGCCACCAGTGATTTATTCTCTGAGAGGGTATCATTGAGAAATTTTGAAAACCAGATTTTCTTTTCAGAAGTCTATTTGAATTTATAATTCCTAAGTCTCACACCAAGGAAACAAACTTAGCCAACCTTCAAATGCTAACACTGGGAATGTTAAATAAAAGTGTTTTTTCCCCAATATGCCCTGTCAGCAGTAATGCCAAGGTCTTCCCTATCGCTAAGCCCAGGACCTTGCACTTGCCCATGCCTGCCTCCTGCTCTGCCCTGCACCTGCGCTCCTTCCATCCACAGCCTCACACTCCCCATCTCCCCGCCACAGTCCCTACTTCCCTGCCCAGGCTCTCTGGGCCCTACCAGGAGGTCCAAATTCCCTATCACCAGGGCCTTTCAGGACACTGCTTGTTTGAATCACCAGCCTGGCACCCCCAACACCTCTGCTTTGACAGCCCCTGCTTCTTCCTGGGTTCTTTACTTACTCAGTGCATTTGAACTGGGTACTGTTCATTTGAACTGGCTGTTCCCAGCCTCCCCAGACTCTCAGCTCCCTCAGCTCCCTACTCCCCAGGCCCATGATTAGCCCACCCAGTGAAAGTCCCTTTCCCTATGCCATCTTGGAATCTGAAACACTCCTTTGTGTAAAAGGCACCCAGCACCCTCCCCTACCCACCTCCTTCTCATCTTAGAGCCTCAGCTTCTATGAGACACCTCCCCTCCCCACCCCTCCACACACACACACACACCCGCAGCAGTCAGGCTGCTCCTCAAGGCCCCATGAGTATAATCCTGCAACTCCTTTCCCCCAGTCTCCTCCACTCCACATCTGTGCCCACACTACACAGAGAGAACTGATGGCTGTCCTCAAACAGACCTGGGCCACTGCCACCACAAGACGCTGGCTTAGGAAAACATGGACTACATGGTATACATAACACCTAACACATGAATGGGTAGTGATAGTCAGCTGGATATATTTAATACACATATATGTTAACTTAAGATTTTGATTACATTTAATATGTATCTAGTAAGAAATTATTAGGCAATATATTAGTATGCATATGACTATAATATGTAATATATTGATATAATCCAGGGGCATGTTATGCTAATAGACTTATTAACTTAATATATGAAATTTGATAATGTTTAATATGCATTTAATAATAATAAATTATTGGATAATATATTAACCTCTTATACATACATTATATTATGTAATCATAATAGGTAATATATTAGGTAATATAATACATTGATATACTGTATTATACACATTATTATATAATTATAGTGCAGTATAATATAATTATTGCTGTATAATGATATATAATAACTAAATAGAGTCGTACGTAGCTGTAATGCCTGTATGCATATATATAACAATGATTCGGTGTGTTTTTTCTGAGCCAGCTACTCTCACAAACACTCTATGCGCATTATCTTTTAATGCACTAACTCATTGTCTTCCAAACCCTGTGCATTCGCTCATTTAATTTTCACAACAGCCCTACGATGTAAGTACTTTTGTTTCTCCAATACTCCAAGCCAGTGTGCCCCCCTTTGAGTTCCTGTTAAAAGTCACCTCACACACCCTCACTGCGCGGCAGTGGGCCTTGCTGCCCCTTCCCCACCGCACTTTCTTGCTATCAAGCAGGTCTGAGTCCTCCTAGTATAGCTGTAGAGACACAATTCCTAACCCCCTGTCCATGAGTCGCTAGTCCCAGGCCAGGGACAGGCTGTGTTCCTTCCATTTACCTGCATCCCGTCAGGACAGGGATGGGGATGGTCTGCTGCTGTGGCATCTGCTCCTTCAAGGACATCTCCAAGCCACATGGAAGCCCTTAAGGAATGCTACCCCATTCTGGATGCTGTCCCTTGCCTAGTTTCTCCTCAGAGGACCCAACTACAAATCCTGTTCTTACCTCCTGGGAAGCAGGGTCTACCAGAGGCATAGCCCTGAGAAGGCTGGCATTCCATGAAATTCAATTCTGCTCTATGTCTATTCAGAAAAGGAGCTCCTTTCCTTCTGCACCCAAGGCTCAAGCTCTCCACCTCTGTCCCAAGCAATTCTGCCCAGGCCTCCTTGATATACCTTGACCAGAAGCACTGGGAGCAACACAAATGAGAGGGGAGGGACCCAAGCCACACTGTGAAGAACTGCCTCGCCCCTCTCATGAGGAATTTGGAGGAAAAAATCACACCTCCATGGAGCTTGTCCTGCTTCAAAGCAAGAGACTCACCTAGGCTTTTATAGTTCTTCACCAGGTAGTCTTTGCTAAGGGGCTCTAACTTCCAGGTACTTGCAGAACTCCACATGTGGAGGCAAATTTGCTCTCGTCATTCAAGGGCAATTAAAGTAAAGGTGTTGCTCTAACAAAATATCTGAGTCTGGATAAATTTATACAGAAAAGAGGTTTATTTCAGCCTATGGTTTGGAGGCTAAAAAATCTAAGAGAGAGGGGCTGTATCTGCAACCTGCTGCTTTAGCTCATGATAGTAAAGCAGAAGAGACAGAGACCACATGCAAAGGGACACCCATGAGCCAGAGAAAGCTCACTTTATAACACCCTCTCTTTTTTTGTTTTTGGTGGTTCTGGGGTTTGAACTCAGGGCCTCATGCTTGCTAAGCAGGCGCTCTACCATTTTGAACCACTGTGCCAGCAACAACCCACTCTTGAGGTAACTAATCCAGTCTCAAAAGAAAGACATTAACTGTTCAGCGGGACAGTACCCCATGACTCGATCACCTCTTAAATATCCCTCCCCCTCTCAAAGTGTTTCATTGGGATTCAAATTTCCAGTGTGGTTTTGGAAGGGACAAACGATTTTGACACCATAGCAGGCACACGGGAACAACTGAATGGAGCAGCAACACTGCCACTGCAGCTTGCTGAGTTGAACCATTCTTTAATGTGGCTCTGGCAAGAATTGGGGATTTATACCCTGGCAGAATCCTGAATTCATTAGGTAGCAAGGCGAGTCCCCCTCCTAATCTGTCTGTCTCCTAATCTGTGTCTCTGTTTCTCTCTCTCTCTCTCTCTCTCTCTCTCTCTAGCACACACACATACACACACACACACACAGTAACACAGATCACAGAAGAGCAGTCAGGA